GAAAGTGTGAGAAGGAACAATTCCACCCTGGCAGTGCCCAAGGCCAGGCTGGACAGAGCTTGGAGCACCCTGGGACAGTGTCCCTGCCCATGGCACTGGGTGGGCTTTGAGGTCCCTTCCAGCTAAAGCATTCCATGATTCCAGGCTGCCCCGAGGTATCCCAGTGACACAGCAGATCCTGGCAGGAGCTGTTCTCCACAGGAATCCCATGGCCCGGCTGCCGAGCTCCCCCAGCAGCATCGCCCCCCTGGGTTTGGTTATTTATTTTTGGCACCTCTTTGGCCCCCCGGTGCTGTTTGTTCAGTTTCAGCCCTTTGATGTCCTTGCCCTGCCCCTGTTGAACTCCCCTGATCAGGGAGCAGAGGAGCTGCACTTAAACACTGCCCTGTCCCATGAATGCTAATTAATGCTGATTATGATTTATTACAGGCTCGTAAAAGAGCCTGCAACACTGCATTTACACTTGCCACACTTGGAGCTGATTCTTGCCACACAAGGGACAGGAGGAAAAGATAAGGAAAATATGAATAAAAAATATTGGACATTTTTCCCTCAGTAACTCTTTGTCCTGCAATAAAAATCAGTTTTAATCTTGTCCCAGGGGTCTCCCATGGCTGATTTCACTGCAGCCACACAAACATTCCCATCTGGCCAAGCAGAAGAAAATTAACTGTGAATAAAAAGGCCAATAAAAGTGCTTAGAACATCTGAAAAGTATAAAAGTGAGGGCTGGAGGGTTTCTGTTAGAATGGGAGCAGAGTCCTGTCCCTGAGCAGGGAACTGTCACGGGCAGAAGGTCACACCCAGCATCCCCATTCCTTCACAGAGAATTTCCCAGAGCCACGAGGCAGGACAGGCAAATATTGGAGTCAGAACCAGGGAATCCTGGAATGGGTTGGGTGGGAAGGGACCCCAGAGCCCCTGCAGTGCCACCCTGCCATGGCAGGGACACTCCCACTGTGCCAGGCTGCTCCAGCCCCAGTGTCCAGCCTGGCCTTGGGCACTGCCAGGGATGCAGGGGCAGCCCCAGCTGCTCTGGCAATTCCAGCCCAGCCAGGAATTCCTCATGGCCAAGATCCCATCCATGGCTGCCCTCTGGCAGTGGGAGCCATTCCCTGTGTCCTGTCCATCCCTTGTCCCCAGTCCCTCTGCAGCTCTCCTGGAGCCACTGCAGGCCCTGGCAGGGGCTCTGAGCTCTCCCTGGAGCATTTCCCTCTCCAGGGGAACATTCCCAGCTCTCCCAGCCTGGCTCCACGGGAGGTTTCCATGACCTGAGGACCTGTCCCAGAGCAGTTTTGCTTTCCTCTTGATGAAATCCCCGAGACCTCAGGACTCCTCTGCCCGGCTCCTCTGGGTTCTCTCCCTCCCGGCTGGAGCCCCGCTGGGCTCGGGCTCTGCCCAGCCCGGAGCTGCCGGGCAGGGGAAGCTGCAGAGCGGGATTTTCCCGGAGGGCTGAGCTGGATGCTGTCAGCAGCGGCTGCTGAGGGTGCGATGGCAGGAGCCGGCTGGTCCCAGAGGCCGGGCTGAGCCCGGGGAGCTGCGGGCTGCTGCTGGACCATATTTGGGAAGGTCGCGGTGCGGCTCTGGAAGCGCAGCGCTGGTGCCGAGCGCGGAGCTGCCGGGGCAGCGCTGGGGCTGCTGCTCATCTCCCCGGCAACCCGGCAAACACAACATTGCCCAACCCTGCCGGCTATAATTAACTGTGCGCCCCGGCCCCGCAGGAGCCGCTGCCCTGGCTGCCTGCGCTCCCGCACTGCCAGGCGGGATAATGTTCCCCAGAGCAGCGAGGAACATTCCCTGCGGCCCCGGGAACGTGCGGGGTGCCGCAGGCCAAGGAATGTGAGCTGCTCCTGGGGCTGTTTGTGCTCGGCTGTTGGGAGCTGTGCGATTTGAGCCAGGCCTGGTCACTCGGCCCGAAAGGCGGCCAGAGAGAAACGCTGGGGTTTGGAAAAGCTCCCAGAGCGGCACTGGGTGCTCGGCAGAGGCTGTGGCTGCGGGAGAAGGGAGGAAAGCTCGTCCCCTCCTCCCTGCAGGGCCGCTCAGATGAATGTCAAACTGGCGCTGGGAGATCCTGTTCTGATGCCTGCTGGAGGCACCAGATCACGCCTCAATCCTGAGCCAAGAATAGATCCCAGAATTCTTCATCATCCACAGCCTATTCTGGGCCTGCAGCCTCCCACCCAACGTGTGCCCGCTCCCGCTGGGAATCCTGCTCAGGCTCAGCTCCACTCCCTGCTCCAGAGCTGGGAGCTCTGCAGCTTCTTGTGCTGAGGGGCTGCCCTCACACAGAGAACCAGGGAATCCTGGTTTGGATTGAAGGGGTCCCTAATGCCACCCAGTGCCAGGGACAGGGACACCTTCCGTGAGTCCAGGCTGCTCCCAGCCCCGTCCAGCCTGGCCCTGCCACACCTGGGCTCAGCCCCTCGTGTCGGTGCTGGAGGAGATTCCAGCAGCTGCTCCCAGTGGGATCCAGTGCCCTGTGTCACAACCAGGGCTCGGAACCGTGGCCTGGGGTGTCTGTCCCTGTCCCTGTCCCTGCTGGGAGAGGGGAGCTGGCAGCTCCTGGGCCTGCTGCTGCCAAGCCCAGGGTTCAGTATCTTAGCGTGTTCCAGAGGGCTGGAGTGGAGACGAAGGAAGCTGTTCCAAGGTTGGAGCTCTAGAAATCAGCTGGAGGAGTCAGGCTGTACAACCCTGGCCCTTCTGGGGGTGGGAATAGGCTCTGGGGGCGGCTGGAAGGTTTGGGAATTTGCTTGGATGGTTTCATCCTGTCCCCAGAAGCCACAATAAGCCACAAAAAGTGCTTTATAAGCCCATTTCCCTCCAACAGATGAAACAGGGAAGTGAAACTCCTGAGGTTGTGCTATTTTTTCCTGCATTAATGGCCACCAACGTGCTAATTACCACACTGGGTGCTGTATAAATTCTAGGAGTCCTTTCCTTGCACTGGAAAAACGTCCATAAATGAGGAATTTGACCACTCTCATGGGGGACACTTCTAGTGGCATTTCTGTGGCAGCATTCCCATGGCCAAACCCCAGCGTGTGGCAGGGGGTGACATGGGGTGAGCCTTAAGCTCCCTCCCAACCCCGACCATTCCAGGACCCCGTGAGCCCGTGTCCCCTGTGAGCAGGGCAGTACAAAACCGTCCCTCTTTTCCCATGGCAAAGGCCACGTTTTCCCTGTAAACTTTAACCACGTGCAGGAATCTTTGCAGGGTCAAGGCCTCGGCGAGAGCAGCACGGAGCAGCTTAGTGGTAAATCTCATGGCAGGAATTCACTGTGGAATGAAGGATTGGATCGCTTCCTGCTGGTTCCTGGAGGATGCTGGCACTTGGAAAGCAGTTTATCCACGAGACAAAGACAAATCCGGGCACGGCGACAGCAGATCCAGGAGTCCAGGCTGCCAGCATGACTCAGAGATCCCTGCTCCCAGCCCTGGCTCCCTGCTCCCTCTGTCTCCTTTTCCCTTCCCTTCTCCGTGCTCACCCCCACATCCCTGGACACAGTGGACCCTGTCCCGACCGCAGACCCCTGACCCCCATCTCTGGGTCCCCCCCTTGCAGTAACACCGGGGCCACCTGAAGGCCGTGGCCACGGAGGGGCTCCCGCTGTCCCCGTGTCCCCCAGCCGCGGGGTCCAGTCCTCCTGCTCCCCCCGAGGCCGTGACCACCCCCGGGGGCTGCAGCTCGCCCACCCCGCGGTCCCGAGGGCTGTCGCTGTCCCCTCGCCCATGTCCCCGGGGCTGGGGCCGCCCCACCGTTCGTCTGTCCCCGCCCTCGCCCCACCATCCCTGTCCCCGTGTCCCCATCGCCATCCCAGTGTCCCCGTGTCTCTGTCCCACCATCTCCCAGTCCCCGCCTCCGTGTCTCCATCTCCGCCCCCGAGTCTCCGTCCCCTTATCCTCATTCCCGTCCCTGTCTCCCCGTGCCCCCGTTCCTCTGTCCATTCCCCGTTCCAGTGTCGACCCCATCCCATCCATCCCGTCCCATCCCCGCTCCTGTCCCCCATCCCCATTCCCGTCCGCGTGTCCCCATCCTCGTCCCCCTGTCCTCGTTCCCATTCCCCCCACCATTCTGCCCCACCATCCCCAACCCCATTCCCGTCCCTGTCCCCCCACCCCATCCCACCGTTCCGAGCCGAGTCGCGATCCCCGTCCCACCGTCCTCATCTCCGCCCTGTGGTGTCCGTGTCCCCCTGTCCCCGTCCCCATTCCCGTGCTCATCCTTGCCCCGGTCCCCATGTCCTTATGCCCATGTCCGTGTCTCCGTCCCCGTGTCCCCATCTCCATGCGCTCATTCCCGTCCCCGTGTTCCCGTCCCTATCCCCCTGTCCCTGTCCCCATCCCTGTCCCCGTGTCCCCGCGGTCCCGCCCGCCCCAGCCACGCCCACCTCCGACAGCACCGCCCACTACCGACCCCGCCCAGCAAGACCCCGCCCTCTCTCCATCGGCCACGCCCCTCTCCCCCGCCCTGAGGGAGCCGCGGCGCCGCCGCCATTTT